CAGTATTTAATACTATAAATATTGATAAATGAAAAAAGCATGTTACGTGTGGGTAACATGGATTTTTCAAAACCACTTTAACAGGTTATATATATATGTTTAAATATAATAAGCTCATGTTATAACACAAAATATAAAAAATGATCTATTTAGAATGAGTAATTTGTACATATCTTCTTTCATCAATTCTTTGGGATTTCTCAACCGGATCTTTGGAATATTCTCCATATTTAATTCCTAAAATGATTTAAAATTATAAACTTTAGTAAGTATTTTGATATTAATGTCATATTATATTAATTCATAATATATCTGTATTCAAAAATGTATTATTTGTATTTAATCATAGATTCTCAAATTGTTCTGTAAAATGATTTATTTAAAGTAAAAATTACATATAAATCTAACTCATCGGTGATGTCACAAATTATTTGAAAATTGAACCAAAGCAAATGCTTCATAGATTAGTTGAAAAGCTATAATGAAGTGTTTAACCTTTCTAATATTTAAGGTATTGCTTAATCGAAATGTTTATTGTTCACCTTGGCAATAAGCAACCGTCATAATAATACAAAATATTTTTTCAATTTGAACCAGTTGTTCCTGAGATTAGCGCATTCAATAATACGAGAATTGTTAACTTAAAAATTAAGCTTCTTATTAGAAGGCCTCGTGCCTAATCGTTGTGAAAATACTATTCATTCCGTCTACAGTGTCAAACGGTAAGGTCTCTGTCGACCTACAGCCTCGTGAAATAACAAGTAGTAACGTACTGGTTTCACGTATTTTCAATTTTGCATGTATTTTTAAAGTTGTTTAGATATTATTTCACATGGATTGGTACAGTGAATCTTACGGTTGCATCGGCCTGGTTTATACGAGCGATCTGACGCGGGCGAGAGACCTTGTACGCGAACTATGAGCTCCGGTATGATGTTATTTACAGTATGATGGGGATAAATATACGTAGTATATCGAGTTCAGACAATGTAAGACATTTTAGGCCAAGCGCTACACAGCTCGTCATCATTCTGTACCCTATAATCTATAGTAAATAATGATATTTCTAAATTTTTAAAACAGGCTACTATGACTTTCCTTTGAATAAAACAATGGTTATAAAATCTTAATAAAACATATTTTTAACGTTCATTCGACCTACAGTATTATATTGTACTTACATAAAAATTTAGATTATTTATGCATCAGGGTGTATAAAAATTGCAATATAAAATTTAGAACTACTAACTAGATCTGGATTAATTCAAAATATATACTATAAAAATTATTTTTTGTGTTACTTTAATTTGAATCGTGTTGTTCTTTTCAAAAATTGTTGCACTAAAATTGTAAACTCTATATAGTTTGGGAATTATCTCTGGTCTTGATCTTCTTAGTCTTTTAACATTGTTTTGATGACGAATAGATTGCACATGTCTATCCAACTGTTGCATTTAACTGTTAAATTACAAATATCACAAGTTTTATCTACAGGTCTTTGTATTCCCTCTTGTCTTGTTCTTATATTTGATGTTAATATACCTCTTTATGTTCTTCTAAATTGGTATAATTGATTGATCTACAACATTGTTTTGATGACGAATAGATTTCAAATGTCTAGACCAATTTTTGTAAGTAACTGTTAAGTTACATTTATCACAAGTTTTGTTATCCATTTTATTATTGTTAACATTTCCTTTAACATTGATTTCAATTTTTTCATTATCCATTATTTATTATAGATAATATTATTATTTTTTTACATTCATTTTTTAATAAAAATAATTTTTATTAAAAATTCTATTTAAATAATATTAAGATCCCATAAAAAATTCACACATTTTAATATTGCCTAAATCTTGAACAATCTTAATATCATCTAGATAATAGTGATTATAATCACTTGTTGCAATAATTAAATCATTAGCTATATGACAAAGTTCTAACCAAGTTGGTGAGTATAATTGTTTAGAAATATAAGGGTTTCCATTTCCAAAACCAACATCTCCTTGATTAATAATAAAAATATTTCCTTCAATTGGAATTTCATTTAGATTATATCTAACATTCTCAGAATTTTCATAATATTCTAAAGCCCAAAATTTCACATAACACTAATTTTTTTTTTTTAATTTTTTTATATCATTTTGCATCAATTTCAAAAAATTAAAATTGTTTAGTTTATATTGATTAATTGGTTTACCCTTATATTTTGTATTAAGTCTACAAGGTAAAATTGTTTGATATTTATCATTTTTTTGATGACGAATAGACTTCAAATGAGCAGACCAACTTTTGTAACCAATTGTTAAATTACATTTATCACAAGTTTTAGCAGGATATATTTTTTTATTTAATACATCCATTTTATTATAAGTACCAATTACTTTAATTAAAGGTTCATATTTATTTAATCCTTCCATTCTTTATTATATAGAATGTTATTTTTTTAATAGAATAATTTTGGTAGACTAAATTATTACTATTAATTGTAGATATAACTTCCTTTAACTAAGGACATTTTAATCCTTTTAATAATTTGTAGTTTTGTGATCTTTTACTGATATAAAATGAGGTGCGCCTTGAATGGTACATAATATATACTACTACTACCTAACGTCTATAATCAACATTTTTAGTGCATATTTTGACTTTTTTATTTTAAAGATCATATTATATATTATTTTAAGGCTATATTCAAAATAAAAATGCATTGTGTGGTTTCATTGTAAAATGTAAATGTAAGATTATTATCTGGTTTAAGTAATAGGCTTTTTGTTGAAGTTTAATTTTAAAGTGGTATCTGAGTATCTTAAAATTGTTAATTGTTTGTATATCTTAAAATGATTCCTAGCCATGCTTCATTCAATAGAACATCATAATATGATATTATTATGAAATTGGTTTGATTAACACTTAAAAAAAATTGGTCCTATTCTCAAAACGCTTTGGGAAATTTTCACAATTGTAAAATCATTAATTTTTTTATTGTTACTACAACCGATTTCACTACAATACTGCATAGTAGTATACTTTTAAAGATTTTTTTTTTTAAATACCTTCAACTCAAATATTTTTTTAAAACTATTTGTTATAACACTGGATATTACAACTATGGTTCATTGTTAAAACTGCAAATTAATGATATATTATAATTTTACAGTTAATCAAGAGGTACCATATTATTATATGAAGGTAGAATTGAATAAGCGTGTGAAAAAAAAGTGCATGTTATGTGGCAGTAGAGACATAAATCAACAGCTAAACGGTCAGCTGTACATGCTGAAAGATGTTATTGTACATTATTTCTGCATTGTAATTATACCTATTTCCTCAAATATTCACTGCCATATAAGTGTGTTAATAGTAGAATATAACTATAATTTACTTGTTTTCAGATGTTATCATCGAAGGCCGTGAAAAAAGGTAGCGACAAGGAGGGTATTTGGTGCTATTTATTAAACGATATCATAGCTGAAATAGAACGAGGATCTACAGTGGTATGTTCTTCCTATATTATTATGCTGCGTGTACCGTGTACTAAATAGTTATTTCATTATTTTAGACGCGTTTATTGTAATAAAAAGGGTGCAACATTATCGTGCATTGGAGCAGTGAACTGTCAAAAAGTGTTCCATCTTTCTTGTGGGTTGAAAAAATGCATCATTTTTTTTTCGCCATTCAGGTACATAGTTAATCTTACATATTTTGTTAACCTATTTCGTATACGATTCTTAATGAAACAAATATCTTTAGATAGTTTTGCCAAGAGCACCGCATTCAGCCAGTTATAGATGTAACAGAGTTACCTCCGTTCGCTTATCCTACTGTACAATGTGGTATATTTGATGATAACGTCGTACCATCAGCTTCTCCAAATTCCATTTAGGTGCCGTGTTGCGGAATTAGAGGTTGGTTCCACCGAGACTGTATACAGGAGCTTGCATTGCGTAAGGGCTTCTTTATTGAATGCCCAAAATGTGCAAATGTTGATCAATTCAAGAGCCGAATCCTCCTTCTCGGAATATATGTACCATCAAGGTAAAACTGATTTTACTTATCCTAATATTTTTAATATGCAATATGTTTGTACAAAACTATGTAAGTAATACTAGTATAGAAATATTAAAAAAGTACTCAAAATTCACCTTTTTTAGCAAAAAATCATAAACTATTTAAAATATAATTTTCATAGAAGTAGAATATATTTTAATATTAGTTCATAGCTTAAAAACAAATATAATTTGTACAAAATTATGTTTTTTAATATTGGAGTGATACAAAATATATTCTGCGTCAGTATATGAAGTTTAAAATCTTGTAGTTAAATAAAAAAAAAAAAAAAACAGAAATTAAAATTGAAAATAGTGAACAAATTTAAATTTTAAATTATTAATTGTTTCCAAGAAATTTAAATTTTCATAAGAATGAAGTCTAGTTACTTAAATTTTTAAAAGTAAATTTAAAACCGTAGAAGTTAATTTAAAAATTAGTAAAAACCTAACAAGTAGTTTTAAATTATCATTCTATAATACCTAATTGGACCTATTGTAAATAAATTATTTCAATAAATTCTAAGACATGGAGTTTTAAGTTATGAAGAATAAGAATACGCTTTAAATAGTTTTTATTTTATAAACAGTTAATTTAAACATTTAAATCACAGGTATGCCACTTGGGAAAAAAGAAAGTCTTCACAGAATTCTATACTCTATACTCTTCAGTACGGTATTGAAGAGATTAAGGAAAGGACTCTACAATGCGATGCTACACGCTGTCTTTGTCCTCATGAAGGGCAACGTAACTTTCAAAATGAATTGTAAGTACAGTAAAACCTGTGTAATATGGAAACAGTTGGGACCGGATATTTTTTCCATTTTAGACAGGTTTCCATTTAATGCAGGTTGTAAAAAAAAAAAATTCACGATGGGTAGATCTTTATTAAATATACATAATTTATAATTTATATATTTTTATATATTTTACATATTATTATTATATTATATTTTACTCCAAAATTCATCCAATGTTTTTTGTTTTGTTATTTGACTTGCCATTTTCTTTTCTACTAAATTTTTCAAGTTGAGAATTGATTCAAGAAGTTCATTTTCATTATTTTGATCCAATGCGAACATTTCTAATCGTTTTATTTCATGGAGGGCGTTCTTATACGTTTTAATATCATTGCCGTGCAATGGTACATTATCTGTTTCGTCTTCGGAACTGGATTGTTCAACGTCTATTGAAGTGCAAGGTTTCACTGTAGTATCAGCAATAATATCAGTATCATTAGTACATAAATGCTTATCGAAAATTTTGTCGGATCTACATTTTTGAAGCATCTGGGTTTTTGTGCTTTGCCTATAACTAGAGGTTTTTCAAATTCTCCTTCCATGTTAGCACATAAAAATACCGTTAAACGTTCTTTGGAAAGCTTACCACCTTTACACTCTTCACTTTTCACTGATAGTGTTTTACTTGGTAATGCGCGAAAGAATAAACCCGTCTCATCACCATTATAAATATTTTTAGGTTCATATCCTTCAATAATTAATTTTACTTTCACCTTCCATTCATCAACATTTTTAACATCGACACTATTTGACTCACCGCAAATTTGATGCCAAACAATATTATGTTGATTTTTAAAACTTTCCAACCAGCCATTCGATGCTTTAAATTCGGTGACTGACATTTGTTCAGCAATTTGGCGTGCTTTAGTCTGTATAATTGGTCCAGAAATTGGTATATTTTTTGCTCTAGCACTTACAAACCACTCCCAAGTCAAATTATTAATTTCTTCATTAGCGTTGGATTTTGGTTTTCTTTTCATTCGCCCATTTCCTAAAATTAAAAAATATACGTACATATAGAATTTTGAATTTTACATTTTTATAGTTAAGCTTATTGCATACCATTCATCCATTGTTCTTTTATTTCATTTTTTTGCTTTAATATATTATACACTTGACTTTTTCCACATTTGAAAAGTTCACAAATTTGTTTTACTGTTAATTTATCTTTTTCACTTGACTCAATTAGTTTAATTTTTTCATTTAGTGTTAAACATTTATTTTTGGACGTCATATTGAATATAGGTCTATACGCAGTCTACGTCAGAACACTACTACGACACTTATCGATAAAATAAACTTATTGCAACGAAATAATCTATATAATTGATATAGATTATATTCATTGACTGATAATTTTAAAATAGTACATGTACATATTTCCATGATACACAGGTTCATGACAAAATATTGTTTCCATTTCCACGTTAAACAGGTTCCATCTTATTCAGGGAACGATGTATTTAAAATTACATTAGGATCGCCGGGACCGTAACATTTTTCCATAAAAGTCAGGTTTCCACGTTATTCAGGTTCCATATTACACAGGTTTTACTGTAATTTGTTTTAATTATAATTATAATTTTTATTTTACGCACTAAAGTTAAATATTATGTACAATAAACTAATAATAATAATAATAATAATAATAATAATAATAATAGAATACTCATTAAATTATTAGCACCTACCTTAATTGTGTGGAATATCTGTGAAATTGACATATTAAAGTAAATTGAATTCAAATAAATTTCACTATAAATTTTGAACTTGTTGTATCTATCAAATAAATTATGTGTGTAAAAAAATATCCCTAACTCTGTTTATATTCTATATTTCTAACCATCATCATAAATTTTATCAATTAATAATAAATTATTATCCAAATTTCAATTTTACATTGTGTTTCATTCCATTGGTATCAAATTATTTTAATTAAAATGATCATTGAAATAAAATATTTTATAATTTTTGATTGGTTAATAAATTATTTTAATTAAAATTACCATTGAAAAAAAATATTTTATAATTTTGGATTGTTGACATATAATACCTACTTAATTAAAGCTAAATATATATAAAAAATTGCATAATAAGTTATCTATGTATTTTCATTATGTTATTTTTATTACACTACATATTATGCATGTGGCATTTATATTTTTTTATTTTTCAAACAGTAGATGGAAATTACTTCTGTGCAGAACATGTGGTTACAGACAAACGCATGTATCCTGCAGTTCAGTTAGATTTGATGAGACATAGAACTGCAAAGAATGCGAGACAATGATTAGAAGTATGTTTATCATTATTTTTTATATGATTTGATTTATGAAACTCTCAAACCCTTAATAAAACTAATAACCAACTGATTACACGTTTATATGTTTTTGAGTCTGTAGCAACAACATAGTGGCGTTTATCCTATTGTCCATGTGTTGCTTCAGCAACACATAAAACATTTGGTGGGTGGCTGGACGGCTGGGTGGTTTTATTTGTGTAGCAAAATTAAAAACCAAATAATATTAAACACAGGGTCCGCGTATATATCGTAGGTTGTATTAGTTAAAAAATATCATTGTGTGTATGAAATATAATTCTATTTATATCGTTACTTACAAGATTCAAATAATATTTTCAATCTACAATAAAATAATTAAAATAAATAACAATTTATAAGTCTTTTCTTTACTGTGGTGTTTTAGACAAATTTTTTAAAGATATCAAAATCCATAAATATTAATTATTATTTATTTGACTGTAGGTTAAGTACAAATAAAACTGACTCATGAAACTATAAAAGATAATATCAATTTAACTATGTAACAAACACAAAGAAAATATTGGTCCACTAATTACTTTATTATTTTATCTTGTTTGATTTAAATAATTGTTTAAAACATTGAATAATGAATTTCAGATATTCCACCAAGACGATTGGAACTTCCTATTGATGGGGATGCGGTAGGTATTTCCTCAATTTGGGGTAGTTTCGGTAAGATAATGATTCAAAGACTAATATTAGTAAAATAAATTTATTAAAGCTCAGAAACAATAATTATTAAATTATCCAATTTCAGATTCAAATGGATATTTGATCCGTAAAAAAGGTAATACGCATAACAAACAATAATTTATTTTAAATGTATGCTTGACAACTAAAATAATGATTGTGTAGTAATGTGCCAATAGCCACCACAACTAATACCACTAGGGGCTTGAAAGATAATATACATATTATTTATTTGAAACAATATATGAACCACTATATTGTATTAGTATATTGTATAATGTTTATTATAAAATACAATATAATATTTTTGTTTCATTTATGACAAGAACTTTATCTGCTAACTTCTTGATTCTATAATTTTATAAATTGAGCTTTAGCGCTAACATGACTAAATTTAAGTAGTTTACCTATGACCGCTTCTTATGAATTAACAGACTAGTTTAATTATTGTAAATTATTGTAATTAAAATGTTCAATTATTTTTATAGCCGTCCACTCCGGGTTTTCTTCAAAATCATAGACAGGAATAACGCTTCAAATTTGGATATGTACATATTTTTTCATTATTTTCTGGTATATTTTGTGATCAAGTTTATACCTACTATTACATTTTGAAATAGATGTATTAAGATTTCAAGTATATTTATGTAAAAACTACTAAAATATAATGTGCCTATGATGTAACTAAAATAGTACCTATATAAGTTTGTTACTTATGAGTAATATTTGAGTGTATTGTTTTTTTTATTTTTTTATTGTAAGTACCTATATTTTATGACCAAGTTTTTGTTTATATCACTACATTTTTAATTTGTATATTAATTTTATGTATTGTATTACGTTTCATATAAACAATAACATTATTTTCAATACATTTTAGATCATTTTATGCGATTACCAATATTTATAGTTTTTTTTTAAGTAGGTACTTATTATTCTTGATTGGGCAAAACACCGTTTAGATGAAAAAAAAAATTAAACATGGTTCACTAGACAACTGCATACATGGATGATGGACAACATTATCACCAGAAAAAAAGTATTGTTTTATTTATAATATTTTTAAAAAAATTAGTAAAAATCAAAATTGTCTTATGCTTATAAATAACTCAAAAGAGACAAAACACATTTGCATTATAGTATAAAATATTTTTATTTAATTAATTGTTTAAGGTTATAATACTCATATAGGTACTTAATGTTATTTAGTATAAGGAGTGAGAGGGAGGGGAAGAGCCCCTCATGAATACTTGACATTGGTAAGAGCACCAAATAGATTTTTGAAAACCTGGAGCCTATGTCACAAATAAAATATATCTGATATATAAGCAAACATTTTTGTTTCTGTAATTTACTTTTATTTTAAAGGCTCAAAGGGGCTGATGAGTTTCTATTCTATCGTGTTAGCTAGTGGTTATAAGGACCACAATGTTTAGGAACAATTTGCGTCTATGACTAGTACTAGTAAAAAAGGCATGATAAGTATTAATGATTGGGAGTTACCTGGTGATGGCCATAATTTGATATGAGTGCAGTCAATGGCACCAACAACTCTCGGGAACTTAGCTCATCGGTAAAACTCCAACTGTGTCAGTCTTATTTCCTCTGGGTCATCAGGAATATGAATGTACTGACTACGTAGATGTACCGACTTCGTGCACTATTCTATTCAACGTTGAGGAACTAAAGCCACAGAAATCGCCCCCAGTGGTTTGGAAGCACCCAGTTGCATAATAGCAAAGAGTAAATAGTAACTGATTTATTGGAGAAATACAGTTATTCCTGTTGAAAAGAAAAAAAAAATTAGAATTCGAAGTAGGTACCTACTTACATATTATAATTTATAATAGATAGCTTTAAATTTTTTTTTTTAATTTTGGTACTGGTAGGTAGGTACATATGTATTTTTTGCATAAGTACCTTCTAACAACACATTTACTAACCTATCAGTTTCAAATTCGAGTGCATCCTCTATTTTCCAAAGATCGACAGAACTGTTGGCTTGCTTAGTCTGTATCTGGTAACAAAATCGGGTGATAAACAGCTCATCTTCGTTATCTTGTTCGTCGTTATCTTAAAAAGCAATATTCATTACTCGTTCCCTAGCACGATGCATTGAATAATATGAAATAATAACTGACACGAATGAATCAAATGATTATTCGGATCTCCGAGTACGACTAATTTTTAATTTTTAATTAAAATGAATTTTTCTATGCTTATCAAAGTCAATAACAAACTGATAAGGAAACAACGCTAAACGGCCGAAATTGGGCGGTTGGTTCTTAATCGTGATTACGTAGCGGTTACGCTTAACGTTCTGTGGCTTAACCCATATACAGGGGCGGACTGGGCCGAATGGCAAGTGGGTGATCGCCCCCTGAGCTGTTATGATTGCGGGCCCTCACAGGTTTATTGGGCCAGTGGATCGTGATTATTTTGTCAGTAGGTACCTTCTTTATGCAATCTATAAAACTGTAGCTTGGTACTAACCCCTTCTGTCTAAGCTATTGCCATTAAAAAATGTATATTTGTGTAATTTTGATTTTACAATGATGTGTGTTTTTTTTTTTTTAATTTTTTTTTTTTGGACTTTAACTTATGATCGCCCTGGCCGATTTCTTACCCCAGTCCGCCCCTGCCCATATAGTATTACTCTATGGCTTAACCGGATAAGGTGAAATCCATAATCTCTGGTTATCAATGTCAATCATGATTAACTGTGTTGGTGAAATCAGCCCTTAGAGACACGTCGTAACACCACTCGCAGACCATAGTCTTATATTTAATATTAGAATTTAGAGTCGTAACACCGCTCACTTCTCCACCATAGTTTATATTATTGTAATTTTGAACATAAAATATTGTTGAATAAACACACGACATAATCAAGTACATCAAGTATTCGTTTCTGCGTTGATGTATATATCGACGTCAGTTGGGACGTAAAATTATATTGAATATTCACAGAATGTCAATAATATTACACAAATACGTAATAGGTACCATTGATTAAAAATAGGCAGGTACTACCATTTTTACTAGAATTTATAACCAATAGTTACACGTATGACGTATCATATTATGCAAGTATATATTATATTTAATTTAGTATTATTGTATTTTATAATATATTATAGTATTAGATTATAATTATTGAGAATAGGTCCAAGTATAAAATATTAGATTTTAAATTATTTTATACGTAATGAAAGACGAAA